AAAAAAAAAAAAAAAAAAAAAAAAGGGCAATTCTCACTCTAAAATTGTAAAAATGTTGCCCCTGTTTTCTTAGAGTTTTTTTATGATTATATTAATATATTAATTCATATGGAATTAGTTTTTATGTAAGAGTTATCTATTTGCCTGGCTGGCGTGGCTCAGTGGTTGAGGGTCCACCCATGCACCAAGAGGTCATGGTTCAATTCCCAGTCAGGGCACATGCCTAGGTTGCAGGCTCGGTCCCAGTGGGGCGTGCAGGAAGCAGCCGATCGATGGTCCTCTCTCATTGATGTTTCTCTCTCTCCCTCTCCCTTCCTCTCTCTCTAAAAAATCAATAAAGCTTTTTTTTTTTTAAGAGTTATCTATTTTCCAAAAGAGATGTTTTCTAATTTTTGACAGCAGCTCCTTCTTATTACCCTAATGATCCCACTTTTCAATAGAACGGATACCTATTAGGTGAAAATACTGCTCTCTATTAATTATCTCGCCTAAACACAGATAAGGTAGGATGAAGGTGGCCTTGGTAATTCAGTTCATCGCTCTTGTCCTTGGTGTCCAGAGCAGACTACAAGGAGTTAGATTAAATGGCTTCAAGTAATCCTTTGGTTGAACAGGCAGACTGTGACTGGGGAAAGATCTCATGACCTCATTCTGTGAAGGCACCAATTACGTAATAACAGACACAGCACCTTCACACAGTAGATCCCCCTTTTCTTGCGAGCACAGTGAGTGCAGACTGAACCTGCAGAATGTGCTCTAGGCCAGCTGGACGGGGTCTGGCTGTGTGACAGAGGATTTGTCTGGTTCCTCTCTCAACGACTGACTTCCTGCTTCTGATCAATGCCTACCAAGAAAGGGAATGACTGAGGTCAAGCTACTTGTGTCCATTTTCAAAAATGACCTGGTGTTCTAATGAAAAAGATGCCACAGTGTTTGTTACTGCTTGTCCTATCAGTGTGGTTCCCTCTCCTGAGTCCTACCCTCTCACAATGAAGAAGCCACCAGGGGTGAAGAATCAGGATCCCCGTGCCTACTGTAAGCAGGATTCAGTTCCAGTCCTCTCTCTGCCTTGATCTTGCACTGGGGCCTTGGGCACTTCCATTCCCTGCTCTGGACCTTAAACATCACAGCTTTGTTGCAATCCTCCTTTTTGTACTTCAGTTTTAAACGTAGAGAGCAAAAGGAGTGCTTTCCTTGGGCACTTAGAAGTGAGTTTTTCTCTCATGTTATACAAAGGAAGCTTTCCTGATTTGCTTTTGCTCATCTTGCTCATCAGAACCGGTTACCAAACAGATGCACAGTTGCTCTGTGTGGGATACCCAGGTTGGAAGCCAGCAGACAGTACAGTGCTTCTTTGCAGACATATGGGGATTTATTTCTAAGCCACACAAAGGCATTAATTTTTGTAAATCATGAGCAATCCATCCCATGGCATTTGAATAAGTTGGCTTCAATTTGTTTAAAATAGAAGATAAACACACAGACAAATGCAAACAAGTGCAGATGCAGCCACCATCTTGCTGTTAGCTGTTGGTTCCAGAGAGGTGTCTGCCTAAGGAGAGCTGTGTAATAGCTCTATTGTGTTTATTAAGGGCCAGGACCATTGTTTCAGCTAAATGTAAATCACTAATCAGCAGAGCAGGGGACATTACAAGCCACAAACTATAACTGAAGTTGAGAAAGATTCTGTGATTCACTATGAAAAGCTCTCATTGAAACCAAGGCAGCCAGCTCAGCTGGGCATGGCTCAGGGGTTGAGCAACAACCTAGGATCCAGGAGATCGAGGTTTGATTCCTGGTCAGGGCACATGTCCAGGTTGCAGGTTCGATCCCCAGTTGGGGGCATGCAGGAGACAGTCGATCAATGACAACTCTCTCATCATTGATGTTTCAACTCTCTCTCTCCCTCTCCCTTCCTCTCTCTGAAATCAATAAAGATACATTTAAAAAAAGAGAGAGG